CATTCTCCTGCATCCATTGCAGTACAGACCCCAGAAAGCGCTGCAGGGACAGAACAGCATCCACTGTAGTTGGAAAAAAGGAGATGTAGAGCTGCATGTCATCAGCATATTGATGGCACGCTGCTCCACACCCCCTGATGACCTTGCCCAGCGGCCTCATATAGATGTTAAAGAGCATTGGGGAGATAGTCGAGCCCTGCGGAACTCCACAATTGAGACTCCATGGGGCCGATTCACTCTCCCCAAGCTGAACTCTCTGAGGACGATCTCCCAGGAAGGATTGGAGCCAGGCCAACGCCGAGCCACCAATTCCCAACTTGGAGATCCTCCTCAGGAGGATACTATGTTCAACGATATCAAAGGCGGTTGAGATACTGAGGAGGACCAACAGAAAAGTTTTACCCCTGTCAGCCTCCCTCAGTAGGTCATCATACAGGGCGACCAATGCCGTTTCTGTACCATGGCGCGGCCTAAAGCCTGACTGGAACGGATCCAGGGCATTTGTTTCATCCAAGTGTGCATGAAGCTGATTGGCCACCACCCTCTCTACCACTTTGCTAATGAAAGGAAAATTGGCAACGGGCCTGTAATTGCCAATATCATCCGCCGCCAGGTTGAATTTCTTTCTAATGGGCCTAATAAGCGTCTCCTTGAGGGCTGGGGGAACCCTGCCCTCCTGGAAAGACTCATTAATTATTGCTGTGTGCCTTTCAGTTGTTATAGGCCTGTCTGCTTTGATTAGCCAGGCCTGGCAAGGGTCAAGAGGTGGTGGCCCAACAGCGAACTAGCGCCTTGTCCACATGTCTGTTATCACAAGCTGAAAATAGTCAAAACTCACTGGGCAAGGCAGAGCGTTGGACATCTCTGCTCGATCCACTGTCACCAAAAAAGGAGAAACCTCCCGGCGGATGGCCTCCACTTTAGATTTTTAAAATGCTGCAAATTGGTCAGGTGAGATACTCTAAGGAGGCCCTTCACCCCGACCAATTCCGGATAGGTTGCGCCTGCTGATTTGAAGCCTCGCTTATCCGGTCCGCGAGGTGAGCTCAACTAGCAGCCCTTATCTTGGCCAGATAATGGTTAGTCGCGACCCTGACAGCTTCTCTATTATAATCCGTCGGTTTCTTTCTCCACTTGCTCTCTAGCCTACTTCTAGTTTGCTTCATCACTCGTAGTTCCTGGTTAAATCAGGTCGCTGGCCGAGCTCTGCATTGGATGGGACATTTAGGAGCAATCGTGTCTACAGCCCTAGTGGTGGCCGTGACCCAACCGTCCACCAGAGCCTCAACAGGAGTGCCAACCAGATCAGCCGGAATCCCTCTCATGGTATCCTGGAATCCTATAGGATCCAGTAGCCTTCGAGGGCGGACCATTACAATAGATCCTTGCTCCCTGCGAGGTGGAAGGGCCACTGAGAGGTTACATTTTATTAGGTGGTGATCCGAATTTCGTTGTACAGTGGGGTCTCTACTTAAGAACTTAATCCGTATTGGAAGGTGGTTCTCAAGTTGAAAAGTTCTTAAGTTGAATCTGCATTTCCCATAGGAATGCATTGAAAACCATTTAATCCGTATCTGCTCTTTTCCGTCCATAGAAACTACTTAAGAACTTAATCGGTTTTGGAATGGTGTTCTTAAGTTGAAACGTTCTTAAGTTGAAGCAAAATTTCCCATAGGAATGGACTGAAAACCAATTAATCCGTTCTGGCTGTTTTTTTGTTATGCAAAGGTGCGTTCGTACATTGAAGCATTAGTTCCCATAGGAACTAATGCAAAGCTGGTTAATACATACTCTACCACTAGGGGGAGAGTTTTTTTAAAAAACTAAGATGACCTAAGGTTAAAAAAAGAGCAGGAAAGGTTTTTTTTCCTGTTCTTATCTCGGATTTCTGTTCTCAAGTAGAAGCAAAATTTAGCAAATGGAGCTGTTCTTAAGTTGGATTGTTCTTAAGTAGGGACGTTCTTAAGTAGAGACCCCACTGTACAGATAATAGTTCCTATTCACAACTAGTTCCTATTCACATGCTTGCCATAACTGCAAAAATACTTGTTTATATTAACAGCAACTTTTCATGACGTAATCTATCTCATGCTCCCACAGTTGTGAAAAGTTGTGTGAGGGGAGGGGAAAGAGCAGTCAGCCCACATGACATGCACTAGCCTGGTGTGTCGCACCAACATATTTATCCATTTCCTCTCATACTTTTGCCTGCTAGTTAAGACCAAAGCAGGCATGATAATACACACAAATTACTTTCCCCTTTTAACAATAGCATCTGCAGGCTGTGGGTGAGGGAGCAAACTAAGGATAACCACAGCATGTGTAAAAAGGCAAACCTCCTGCTTTTTCTGACAGGAGAAACTGCCAAACATGGGTGCCAAAGGTCCCATTCATCCTCTTCCCTGCAGCTGCTATTTTTAAACGAAGAATATGCATTCAACAACACATTTGTTTTAGCCCCCAAGTCCTGCTGATCTGAGGCAGAAAAAAATCTCTTCACATGAAGGCTCCTTTTTTCCTTTCTTCTTTTCTTTGAAAAGCTGACAAAGCCGGTCTCAAGTGCTAACCAGATGTCTCCATTCCTAACCAAGTGGCTGAAATTCATGGGCATTTTTTAAAAATCATCTTTTTAATCCCTTCTGACTTTTACAAAGAAGTATTGGGGTGGAGATAACTGGAAAGAAGGAAAAGGAGGGGGTATAAAAAAATCTACAGGCTCAGTGATTTATTTTGCCAAGGACTGTCACCCAGAGAGCATCTTCAAATATAGTCTAGATTCAGTGGTACGTATCAGAAAGGAAGTGTTTTGATGAAAAGCCAGGTTTGGAATCATGTCACTTTCTGAAGTAATTTGAAGTCATATGAGTTCATGGACTGCAATCACTTTTTCACCTCAGTGTCTTCTTAGTGGAGAGAGGAGAAATAGCTATTCTTCCTACATGTCTTAAAAAGCATTCAACAGTTTTTGTAGCTTGGGAATAGAACCACCACTTATCTCTACTTTGGGGGGGGGAGGGGAACAGTGTCTCATGTTCAGAACCTGTCTGTTATATTCACTCCATGTATTTGGCCTGACCTGAAAGAGAATGTTGGCTTTTTGGCTGGGTATATTGCACATGTAATATCTGTGGGGGAACGGTGATGGAAGTCTTCATGGTGTACTCTGTGTAACAAATGTTTGCCCTCAGGTCTTACACAATGGATCTTGAATGCCACTTCATTTATCAAAATGGCCTTTTGGACGCTCCAAACAATTGAGTATTCTTTCAAAGAGCAGGATAATTCAGCTCTAGATAGATGTAGAATGACAGTTGGCTATATGGAACCTGCACAAACAATGCACAAATACAGGAAATTGCTCTATTGGCTACTGAAGGCTCATTTATCTATGTACCACTTTGGCCTCAATTCAACATTACACTACAGTTTAATTTATTATTAGGTACATTAGCCTAAAATTTGTATACTGCCCTCTCTTTCCTTCTAGTCCACTATGTTCGCAAGCAGATTGACAACTCGTACTATTATTTTAACTAACCACAGTTTAATATATCTGAAACTAGGCAAACGGTGGTTTTAGCTACAGTTTGCTGAAAAATGCAACTTGAAGCCATAGTTCATGAAATTGACTTTTTCAATAAAAAATAGCTCACATTGACTACACTTTAGGATTTAGATGTTATGCTCAGCCACCGTAAAATGAAAATGAAGAAAATAGCTATACAGTACTAGAAGAAGAGTCTACGAGGGAAAACTGTGTTTACATAATACCAAACTAAGAGTGATTTAACACTGTTTCCCAACAGGAGCTTTTTCTCCAACTGTAGAGGAATTTCTAAATAAAAAACTGTACTCAAACATCCATGATCCCTCATTTATATTTCCCATTTACAGTACTTCGCCCTGCGAAGAAAATTCCTTCACTGCCGCAGAAGTTCCTTCTACAGTGGTGCCTCGCATAGCGAGGTTAATC